CTCAGAATAAGCAAATTCCCTTTACTAATGCAAATCTCTACTTTCTGTTCACATACTATTCCCAAAAACACTGAGAGGGCAGCTAGGTGGCACAGTAGATAGATTGTTGGACCTGGAGTCAGTAAGGCCTGAGTTCAAATCCAGCCTCAGATACTTACTAGCTGTGTGACGCTGGGCAAGTCACTTAACCCTGTTTGCCTCAGTTTCCTCATGTATAAAATGAGCTGGAGAAGGAAATGGCAAACCATCCCAATATCTTTGCCAAGAAAACCCCAAATGGGGTCATGAAAATTAAGATGTGACTAAAAAATGACTCAATAACAACAGAACATTGAGAAGCTAAGTAATAGGGTCATATAGCCCGTATATGTCTAGGGTAGAGCTTAAACCCATATTTTCCTGACGACATGGCGTGAAGGCCCCCTAAAAAGTCTTACGAAAATTATTTTTGGTTCAAGAGTATTCATTTTTTGCCTTTATAAAATAGACACCAAACTAAGAGGAAAAGAAGAATGGTGTGTGTGTGTGTGTGTGTGTGTGTGTGTGTGTGTGTGTGTGTGTCCTCAGCTTCTACCAGGGTATGACAGCCTTATCAACATGAGGCAGCACCAGAAGTGTCATGGTCCTGTGCCATCTTTAAGTCTCTGTGTCATTTGGTCAAGGCAAGACAGGTCAAGAAACATTTCTTAAGTACTTACTATGTGACAGACAGGGTGCTAAGCATCGTGAATACAAATACAAGCAAAAAGAAAGTCTCTGTCCTCAAAGAGCTTACATTATAATGGGAGCTAGACAAGACATAAAAGGAAGATGGAAAGGGGTCATGGTCCTTGTTCTGGGGCAGGTTGGACAAAAACCAGAGAGTCAGGACAGACCATGGCTGGTTTCTGCTGTAAGTACACCAGCCTGTAGCAAGAATGTTTATGAGGAAGAAGCATGAAGAGGACAGACTTGTGTTTTAGGCGTCTCCAGCTGATTCATTATTCCCACCTGTTCCCCATAACTGGCCCAGGGAATGTTGCCTTCAGGCCCAGAGGGGTGAAGATCTTACTCGTGGTGATATAGTTAATAAAAGGCAGAACAGGGAATCCAACCCAGGTCTCCTGACTCCAAACCTACTTCTCTTTCTTTCCTCTTAATCAACAGATAAAAAATACAGTTTCTTGTTTTTACCTGCAAATGGGCTAAAACATCTTTGGAGTGGTGGAATGGATATTGGCATTGTTGTCAAAAGACATGGATTCAAGGTCTATCTCTGCCTTAGACAAGTACAATTCACCTATGAGCTTCAATTTCCTCTTCTATAAAATGAGGGGATTGGACTAGATTATCTCAAAATTTCTTTCTAGCTTTCTGGTTCTGTGATGAATACTTCTTAATAGAAATAAGAAATGTATAAGGAAAGCATGCTAAGAAAAATGGCTTTAAGAATCCCTTAAAGAGGTCAAAAATGGGCAAAATTAAAACTAAACACATGTCATGATGCAGATCAAATAAAAAAGAAAAAAATTAATAAGTAAAAATCTTTAGTGAGAGCTAAAATGATCTAACCATATATGATAATTTGTTAATAATGGCATATAAAGTACTTTCAAGTTTGTAAAGTGCCTTACATAGATTATCTCATTTGATTCTCACAACAACCCAGCGAGATATATGCAATAATTATCCCCATTTTACAGATGAGGAAAGCAAGGCTTAGGGAAGTTAAATAACTTGCCCATGGTCACACAGCTAGTAAGTGTCTGAAACAGTATTTAAACTTGAACTTTCTTGACTCTAAGACTGGAGCACTAGCATTTATATAGAGCTTTCAGTTTTGCAAAGCATTTTAGAAATATTATTCATTTGATCCTCATAACAGCCTTAGGAGGTAGGTGCTATTATTATTCTCATTTGCAGAGATTAAGTGACTTGTCCAGTCACATGGTTAGTATGTGTCCGAGGCTAGATTTGAACTCATGTTTCTGACTTCAGGTCCAGCGCTCTAACCACTGCACTAAATGTGTCTTTATTGGTGTGAGTACTCTCTCCATGCTTTCTCATCTTGTGTGACTCTTGTCCATATCCACACAGGAAATGTACTATAGAGGTTTCACCCAATATATTGAGGACTTTTCTCTGGATCATTTAGCATTTTGTAGATACCATTGGTGCACATGGGCTGTCCACTGGTCATCCCTCCCTTCCATTATGTGACTGGCTCACATTTTCGGTAATACATTCCTTGAATAATAGAATTTATGCTACTTTTCCTATTCTTCATTATCATTACTAATATGTTAAAGCCAATACACACCCACCATCAATTTCTCAATCACTGCTTGAGTGATGTGCAACTTTAGTCCTTCAGATTTTATTATTCTGTGCTGCACAGACGTATTGATATTTTTAAAATATGGCTGCTTGTTTTAGGTAGGTTTGGGGTCATTAAAAGTATTGTACAACTTCTCAAATGCAATCCAGCCTGCTCTCATTTTCCCATTTACCATGTTGGAAATGCTAGAAATTGGGTAAGACTTTATATCAGAAATATAAATATTAGTAACAAATGTGTTACTAGGTGAACTGGTCTTTAGACTGACTTTAAGAAATTAACCTAGATGTAGCTGGCAATGACAATGGGGAAGGCATCTCACCCAGTTCTTGCTTTACATAAGTAGACCCTTGGACCTCTACATAAAGTGATTTTTATGTAATGCAAATTTGCCCCTACCCACCTGTTGCAGTCTGAGAGGCTGTGACCCCTCAAAGACTAGAGTAAAGGATGGGGTCGTCTGGAATGAATTCTCAGACTCAAGCATTCTTTAAGTCAAGGCGGCAAAAAGTTTATTGTTACTCTTCTTAGCGGGCAAGGATTCTTAAGGAACCTGCAACCTTAGTGGGGTACAGTTAAAGTTTATATAGGATAAAATAAAATAAAACATGTGTCAAATATGCTAACTAGGTGATTCAGGGTGGGATTAGGGAGTGGTTAAGGAGTGGTCAGTTCTTAAAGGAACATGCACTTCTTGTACCTACTGTGCAGGCATTTTACCCAGAGTTCACTGGGAAAAGCCCACAAGGGGGGGTCACACGGAGGTGTGGTTTTAAGCCTGCTACTTCACTAAGTTAACTAGAGTTCAGGGGTAAATGAGAGTTGTCCAGTCTGCCACCAGTCAATGTCTTGTTTGACAAGATAGATGTAGGGAGTATACATATGTCTTAGGTCTAGAATACAGACAATGAGGGAGGGCAGTAGTATGTATAGTCCAGTGGGTAAGAATGTCTTTATGACCCAGTGCAAAGCCAGTTCAAACTAATAATTCCTTCAGGTGCTGTTTGTAACTGCCCCAGGGAAAGAGATAAGGGTCTTGCTGGGGCCCACTCATGAGTACTTGCTAGGCTCAGTGTCCTTGGGCTGAGGAGAAATTGTCAGGGATAGTGTTTCTGAGGCTAGAGAGAAATTGGGGTCCAAGCACAAGCACCCAAACACAGGCACCCAAGCACCCCATCACACCCACTTTACTTAGCCCATATAACAAAAGCATATGCAAAACAATACCTTTATGCAAGTCATAAAAGGTACTAAAATGCAATCATATTAAATACTGTACCATGATAATAAACAGAAAATGAAAAGTAAAGTTAATGATAAAGTATGGACAGCACTGAACAGTAAAGTTAACCTAGGTATGCAGAATGTTGCCCCTTCCTCATCCACTGCCCCTAGCCTTTATCACTGGTGATTAGCTGGACAACTTTTTTGTGAAGCTATCCAGAGACATTTGGACAGCTGCTCGCTTTTTTTTCCTTGTATTATCTGACTGTAGCAAGCAATGTTATCCTCAACTAGTCTTTGAACTTTTAAAAATCTTGAATTATTTGGATCCATCTTTTCAACACAAGGAAAAAGCTCACCCAAATGATGAAATGCTTCTGCCGACTGTTTTGTTGTGAATCTTTTTTCTTCGACCTCGGGTTCTGAAACTTCCTTTTCTTTTTCTGCAATCTTTGCAGGTAGCAGCTCAATCAGATAGTTATTCTCCATGAGACTCAGTCCTCCATATCATCCTCATCCACTTCTTGTGCTAATTTTACAATTTTGTTACCTAACTGTGGCACACTTTTCTCCAAACTCTCCTCATACATGTTTCTCCTTCATCTTCCCAATATTACCTTAGCAATATTTCAGACTGCATGGTAAATATTTTAGGACTCACAAAAATCTTTCTATGTCAAGTCCTCATCTGTATCCAAAGCTGCAATTGCCTGGGCAAATGTAGTATGTAAATAATTTGCTTTGAAATTTTCAACTACTCCCTGATCCATAGGTTTTAATAATGAGTTAGTGTTCCAGGGAAGGTGGACCACTTTTATATTTTCATTAACATCATCCATAGGGGGAGGGTGACCTGGGGCATGATCCAAAATAAGTAGAATCTTGAAAGGAATGTCATTATCATTACAAAACTTCTTGAGACTTCAGGAGCGAAGCAGTATATAAACCATCGTTCAAAGATGATAAGGGTTATCCATGCCTTAGGGTTAGCAGAAATAATGCAAAGGGTTGCTTTGCTGATTCCTTGCAATGCTCTAGGATTTTCTGAGTGGTGCACAAGAACAGGTTTTAATTTGCAAGTCCCAGATGCATTCCCTCCAAGCAGAAGAGTAACTCTATTTTTCGAAGCTTTATGTCCTGGCATAGTTTTTTCCTCCACTGAGATGTACGTTTGCGAAGCCATTCTTTGATAAAATAGGCCAGTTTCACCTACATTAAAGATTTGCTCTGGCAAGTAGGGACCTTCTCTTTATTTTTATCTATTTATTATTATTATTATTATTATTATTTGCAAGGAAGCTTCAATATCTCCACTTGCACAATTTTAAAATCAGAATTGGAATGTGGATTTCTTTCAGAATTCTTTAGGTAAAGTCAAATTTGCATAATACAAATTCACATAAAGTGAGAACTATCTGTACTATATAAATGGATTACTCATAGTTTCTTTTTCTCCCAGGTACCTTTGTCTCTGCTTTCACTGTGCTATGTGGAGCCCGGACTGACCTCCCCGACAGGCACATGTGCTGTGTCTTCTGGTTGAATATTGCCGCAGCACTCATTCAGATCCTGACAGCCATTGTGATGGTGGGCTGGATCATGAGTATATTCTGGGGAATGGATATGGTTATTCTCGCCAGTAAGTATCTTACAAACAGCCACATCTCCTCACCTCTCTCTCAAATCTCTTGGCATAAGGATCCAGCCAAAAAGACACAGGGGAGAGACTGAGGGACAGATAGACATGTGGGGAATTTGGCCAAAATAGTTTTGAAATCATGGACCAGCCCATAATTGCCATGGGGCTTTGATGTTCTTTTCAGGGAATTATTTGCCCTACCCCAATGCAATGCCCATGTAAGATTAGGACACTGTGCTGAGCTTTCCAGGAAACACTTTATTATTGATGGATTTCTCCCATTTTCTCTGAGGCTAGAATAGAACAGATGTCAGCCGGTGTTTCCACTCATTACCAATCTTCACTTCTTACCCATTACAGAATGTCTTTTTTTCTCTCCTTGGTAAGAATGATCAGCATGCTAGCATCAATACATACATAAAGATGCTGTAATGGAAAAATATGATAAGTTGGTTTCAGATAATCCCTCCCCTGAGGACATCTGAGTTGATGGGAAAAATCAGGTCTCATCTAGAATGTACGGGTACTGCTGTCAACCTTAGTCAGGGGGAGTGAGAAGAGGTGTGTTAATCACCTAGACAGCTCAAGAGATGTCAGTCCCTATGTCTTGCCTTATACAAATGAGCTGGGAGCTTAGAGAAAAAGTAGTCAGGGTTGGTTGGCAGGAAAAGAACGCTGGAAAGAAGGTCATCATGTATATAGCGGGTCACAAAAATGATGATCACACAGGTGAACTGACTGAATGTTTGAGGAGAAATAATATGGCAACTACAGTCTGTATGACATGCCTGCATAAGAGCCAGGGCGTAGATTCTAGCTTAAAACAAAAAGGTGAGGAAACATGAACTTACCTAAAGAAACAGAGCCAACCACAAATACCAGCTAAGTGAACATGATTAATACTGAATATGAAAGAAAAGCTCAACACAGTAGGGAAAGCACAGGGCACACACTTCAGCCAGGAAAATCTAGACAATGTAGAGAGTAGACTCATGGGAACTCAGAGTTGGAAGGTCAGAGGTCATTTACTCCAACCCATGGCCATAGAGGAATATTCTTATAATATCCTCAACAATTGGTCATCCATACTTTGAAGACCTTCAGTGACTAGGAACTCACTACCTCTAAAAGTAGCCTATTCAGCATTTTAACTTATACTTCCATATTAATTTTATTCATTGTTCTTGGTCCTGCTCTTTAGACAAAGGTGTGTTCGTAAATGTTTAACAACCAGCTTTCCAAAGCAGAACACACTTTTAAGTTTATTATTATCATTAAGTTTAATTATTAATACTAAGTTTATTATGCATTATTAACATTTCTCTATTGCTTTCTTAAATCTAGATAATCAACAATAAATCAAGCCCTGGTTTGTGGCATTTTTCGAGATGTAAATGCTCACATTGAAAATTTAGCAAATGGTAGATGGTATGAGTTGATTTCAGCATATGCCTGCCTTTAGGGACAAGTAAAACAAGCCTAATGTTTCTTCCACATAATGACCTTTCCAATACCTGAAGACCTATCACGTGCTCCTTAGGCCTTCTGTTTTGAAGGCCAGCATTGAACTTCCTTCAATTGAACCTTACATGGTATGGTCTCCAGTCCTATCCTCATCCTGGTCACCCTTCCTTTGGACCCACTCCAATTTGTCAATGTTCTTCCTATTATTCCAGACCCCAGAATTAAATATAATACTCCAGTTGCGCCCTGACCAGGATGGAATACAGAAATACAGTCACCTACTTCATTCTGGACACTGTGGCTCTCTCAATGCAGCCCAAGATTACATTCATTTTTTGGCTACCACATTATACTATTGAGTCACTGAGCTTGTAGTCTGCTAAGATCTCAAGATCTTTTTCATAGGTACCATCTAGCCACATCTTCCCCCATCTTGTACTTGTGCAATTTATTTTCTAATGCAAATGTAGTATTTTAACTTTATCTATATTAAATGGAGATAAATAGAATAGGCTTTCCAAATGTCAAGAACTGGAGAGACTTCCAGCAAAGTTCAAAGGAGGAGCAAGAGCCTGTATCCAAAGGCTTCTTTTAACATTTAAAACTCTAGTTTGAAAATGTGTTCAGTTTCTGAATCTCTTTAATGGGGACAACTACTTTTCTTCTGCTTGCTTCCATTAAAATACACACATACACATTTCATCAGGATGAATGGCAAGACTGACAAGTCTCAGAGAGGGAAATTGCTTTTGATGTGATACCAATGAAATGATGTCTGGTTTTTTTTTTTAATTGAATAATGTAAATAAATGGTTAATTCAGGCCAGAAACAGAAGCATGCACATGGTTGTGTTCTAAACCTTAGTGCTAAAGGATAATATTTGACAGGACTTTGGTGGATCATTAAAAATCTCCTGTTAAGATCTACAGATTTAGAGATATCCTTCAGAGCACTTACCAGAGAGCCCAGTGGATTATGTATTGACTTTTTCACTATCATTATTATTATTATTATGACTCCTTTTCTGTGACAGCCTCAGTTTTGCTGTCACTTTGTAGGTTCGTGTTTGCAAAACCAACATTTAACATAGTTTCTCTCCTCCTGGGTACTTTGTATGTAATTAGGCTCTTATATCACTAGGTGAATTATAGGTTTTTTATGATGATTTAATTGTCTGAACAGCCAGGCTTTTTATTGTCATGCTTAAATGAGAGAAGGAAATTAGATGCTTTTCCACTGAATTATGGTTTTGAGTATGGGGGATTGGTTGTTTTTGTTTTTGTATAAATATAGCTCTTGAAAACAGCTACATATAAATATTAATCAATAGTGCTGGTCGTTAATGTTTTAAATGGGCATTTTTTAAAAAAAAGAAATGAGATATAATTGGGTACTTTTCTGATTAATTCTTAACTATTTTCAATTGCCATCTCAATCTGGCTTTTTCCCTAAGCTTGAATAAATACTTTAAAAAACTGGTCGAAATTTTTTCTTTAATCAATTAACCAATCAACAAACATTTATTAATGTCTTTTATGTGCCAGGCATTATGTTGAGTGAAAAGTCCTTCTTGGGTGTCTTCAGTTGCTCTGGTATTTTAGTAAGTTGATGCTATTATAAAATCCTTGTCTATTTTCTGCCATGAAAGAATCTTTTGACTGTCACTGTCTCCTTAGTACTCAGTATTCTTATTACTTAAATGTCCAAATATTCTTTATCTCCTGTTATAAGGAAGAAGCTGACAGAGTCAGATTTCTGGTCCCCTGTCCTTATTTTTTTTTTTTCTTTTCTGATGCTCTGTCCAAACAGCTACCAAAAAAGAGAGGAAATAAAACCCCCAAAGCACTTATTTGCCAGCATGAAATCCTATGGTTGTCTTTTTTTCCAGCCAGAAGGCAGTAATTTCCCTCTCCTTTAAACTTAGCTTTTTGCCCTTTGAAGCTAGAGCATTGTTATTTATAATTGGCAACAAATGGGCCCATAGCAACCATCATATAAACAAGATTAGTTTTAAACTTGGTTTGGATAGAAAAATGTTTTCTGAAATTCAGAAAACCAAGCTTATCAGATCATACATCAACATATTTGCTTTCATTGGTATGGAATTTTCTTTTCATTCAGGCGGATCTTGACTCATTTATAACTCAAAGTCTTAGGGAGGTACTTAAGTCTCAGAGAGTAATGCAGTAATTGCCTTTGGTCAGTATTACATCTTTGTCTTCTTGAATCCAAATGTAACACTCTATCCAGTATATTCAAGCTGCCTCTCATTAGTCAGTCAATAAACATTTATTAAGCACTTACTCTGTGCCAAGGGCAGCTAGGTGGTGCAGCGGATAGAGCTCCAGGTCTAGAGTCAGGAAGATTCATCATCTTGAATTCAAATGCAGCCTCAGACACTTACTGGTTGTGTGACCTTGGGCAAGTCCCTTAACTGTTTGCATCAGTTTCCTCATCTGTAAAAAAAAATGAGCTGGAGAAAAAAATGGCAAACCACTCCAGTATCTCTGCCAAGAAAACCCCAATTGGGGTCATGAAAAGTCTGACATGACTGAAAAATGACTCAGCAACTCTGTGCCCAGAACTGTACCAAGTACTGGCAATATAAAGAAAGGCAAAAGACAGCCCCCACCCTCAAGGAGCTCATAATCTAATGGGGGAAGACAATATGCAAATAACTATGTACAAATGAGCTATATACAGGAAAAATTGGAAATAATCGACAGCACTAGCATCGAGGAGTATCAGCCCCTAGTGCTATAACATAACTTTTCAAAATACCTTTAAATATAACATAACAGGGGTTGAAACAGAATTATAAAATGTTTTACCATCCAGTCCTATGTTGAGAGACACTCATCCCTACCTTGCATGTGTCAACTGTTGGTTGTGGTTTCTCAGATTTCCTGGATTCATCATTCCTCATAGCATCATTGGTATCCAGCATAGAAACGGTATTGTGATCAGTTCTGATCACAGCACCACATTTTAGGAAGTCCATGACACTCTCTTAGCAGCAACCCAGTGAAGTAAGTAGTGCAAAATTTATCAGACCCATTTTACAGAGGAGAAAACTGAGGCTCAAAAAAGAGGAATTGACATGCCCAAGGTTACAGTGAGCTAGTTAGTAACATAACTTTCCTTGACAAACTGGATGAGGATGACCAGGATGGCAAGGGCACAGAAAACTTTGCCATAGGAGAATTGGTTTAAAGACATGAGGATGATGGGGGTCCATGTAGCATATGACTATTGTCTTCAATTACTTCAAGGGCTGCCATGCCTAAAATGGATTCGATTTGTTTTTCTCAGTCCCAGAAAGACAAAGTCTATGTTATTCCCCTTCTCAGAAACCTGTACTGATTTCTAATAAGTCAAAACTTCATTCCCAAATATGAATTTTAAATCTTCAACATAAAAAATGAGTCTCCAGCATCTGTTGTAGCTTTTGTAACTGACTAGGTTGCACTGCAATCTGGGCTTCCTCTCTACCACCACCACTCTAACAAGCATTTATTAACTTTAATTAATAATT